AGGGAAGACCGATCTCTGAAATACGGTAAAAAAAAAAAAAAAAAAAAAAAATCAATCGTTTGGCGGGTTGCCCCTCCCCCTCCCCCCCCAAAATAAATAAATAAAATAAATAAATAAAAGGATTAACGGTTGTCCTGAACCCTGTCTGTCATGGTGGCTGCTGCTGCGTTGTTTTTGGCCGTGTTCTGTTTCCTGTCCCTGTTTTTGGTTTTACTTTTGGGTGGGGGGGGGGAGGGTGTTGCGGGCGAGGGGTGGAGAATAACTTGGTTTGGCAGCACGAAGGGTGGTTTATTGGAACCAATTTCCTACGATGGAGCACAAGGTTAAGGTTGGCTTAAGTTGGCTATCTCGGGCGGCAGTAGATGTAGTAGGGGGCTTATTACAACCATCCAGTTCTTGATAGTTGAAACCCTATGGCCTATATACCCTTTTATTATTACTAATGTGAGTCTCAAGGCCTCGACGAGCCCTATTGGGCCGCCCTAAGTGAAGGCAGGCCCGACCAAGGACGAGAGGCCTATTTTGGGCTTACCATGCAACTGGGAAATTTAGGCAGTTGCGCAGCGCCAGTTGGTTGAGAGAACCCAGGCCCTGCCTTCCTTTCTCAAATGTATCAGAGGCAGGCCCTGGGCTGGACACGGGGCATGCCATTGGACTGCGCACAGGCCGCTGGCAGTTGGACACGGGTAACCACCCCAGGCCCTGTGTCTGATTCCCTTGGACCGGGGCTCAGCCACTTGGGGCCTACCAGAAGCTTCTGGGCGAGGGGCCTGGCACAGCCAGGCAGCAGGCAGCAGGCAGGCCATTTCCATATAGGAAAGTGCCTGCCCCCGCATTTGGCATTCGGGCACTTGCTACATGCTGCGCAAGCGCTGCTGCGCTACTGGCAGGCAAGCCACGCGCTCACGGGCGAGCAAGGGATACGCAGGCAGCCATAGCCGAGCTGGCCTGCGAGGTGCTGGATGGGGCGCTTGGTGGTCCTTGGGTGCACGGGGCATCTGTGTGGGGGATCGAGGTTGTGAGTGATGCGTGAGACATACCTGGTGCTGGAGGCAAACGACATTGGCCGAGATCTGCTCGTACTTCGGGAAGCTGTTGACGTCACCAGCGGCATTGTAGATAGGCTAGATAGGATCTGCCATTCATAGTCTGGGCGATGAGCGTCAGATAGGAAGCCGACATTGGTTCATTGTTGATGATGATGAGACTATTCCAACATTGTCACTTGTGAGCTTTTGCTGTGCTCTTATTTGGTGGAACTCGAGTTGCAATTCTGCTTTTGGTTCGAGGTCACGACTATCTGGTTTCATGTGTATGATGCTGCTTGGTTTCTGGAATTCGCTATCGCTCATTTTCCTGGCACTAAATTAAAAAGCAAATAAAAAAAGAAGTAGACCTTAAATAGAACTCAGAGCTTTAAAAAAAAAAAAAGTGTCAGAAAACATTGGGTGGACTCAGCAGGACTGCATTCACATGACCGGTAGGTATGGCTTTTTATTATTAAATTAAAAAAGCAAATAAAAAAAGAAGTAGACCTTTCGCACTGTGGGTCACAGCTGCAGTGGTAAAGACATCCGCACGGCTTATAGGGCCAAGGTCACCGGCTCGATTCCATCTGGCTGTGGAGTTTGTTTGATCCTGGCTGTTGCAGTCCAGTTGGACTGCATTGGTATGTGCTATGTAGAGAATGGAGAGATGCTAGTCTCAAGGGTCAATCAATTTCAGTGATTACAACTGTGTAGGGCTTTTTTTTTTTTTTTTTTTTTTTCTTGGTGACTTTTATCATTTCAAATTTTTGAATTTTTTTCTCAATAGTTCATTGGATAAACAAGAGCTTGTGTAGTTGGTGGTGACGTGGATTTTGGCGATTGGGAAACCTCTTTTTCATCATTATTGTCTATTATTATTATTTTTTATCATTCTTTTTTTTTCATCATTCTTTTTTTTTTTTTTTTTTTTTTTTCATCATTCTCATCGCGGATACAGAGGCAAAAATTGTACTCTACAGTTTTGCTACAAAACACAAAACACTCGCCATCATTGTCCGTGGCCTCATTGCCATCATCAGTCATCACTCGACCCCCTATTTCCTCTTCCTCCAGCTCCTCTTTTTTCTTTTTTTTCTTTTTTGGAAGAATCATTAGATTTTATTACAAATGAAAGGAGGCCGGGAATTCCTCACAAACAACCTGGAAGATATGACCAATAACCCTAATTGGGCTGTTGCTGGAAAACGGGTCCAGCGTCCCTTCCTTTCACTGGTCTATCCTCATCTTCCCAAATCGCTTGAAGCTCATCCTACTTGGTGCTAAAGTTCAGTCAAGCAGATCATTGCAGTGTTGCTCATCGATATTAAACTACTATCGCATCATGCTGAGTTGCCTAAATCGGCAATATTACTTTCCACCAGGATTCAAGTAGACAGCTAAGTCGTTAGGAACTAAAACTACCTATAAGCTCAAAGACCAGGAGCTGGGCAAGAAGAAAAAGCTGTAGGGTTACCCTCCCATCTTCACTGTCCAATCACACTGTAAAGAGCCTTTGTTGCCTAGACGGGTTTCCCACCACGCACCCATTGGATACAACTCTAGCTTGCTCTTCACCGGGTCTCTCATTTCGTCCAACCATTGGTGCTCCCACTGCTCCCTCATGCTAACTACTCTTATAATGACGACAATCGACTAACGCTCCCACCTCTGACGATGGCACTCACACTGCCCCCGTAGTGCCGCTGTCGATAGAAGAATAAGCTGTAGGGATACCCTCTCATCATCACTGTCCAGAACACTGTAAAGAGCCTTTGTTGCCAAGATGGGTTTCCCACCATGCACCCAATGGAAACAACTCTAGTTTGCTCTTCACCGGGTCTCTCGTATCATCCAACCATTGGTGTTCCCACTGCTCCTTCGTGCTGACTATTCTTATAATGACTACAAAGAAAACAACTTATCAAAAGGCAAAATACCTAAAGGCTAAACCGAACAAGGAGAGAAAATCACAAATTTGTTCCCATACATCACAGATAACAATTATCCCTCTCTCTCAATCCTAAGATACTTCAACAATATGTGTTTCTAAAAACGAAACACTAAGGGCAGCCTCCGTGCCAGAACAGAGAGTAAGAAATTTATTTCTCAAGGCAATCAAGAGACAACTGAGCAATCAAAGAAATGCAATACCCTAAAATACGACAGACTAACGTAGAAAACAGCTAAAAAACGGAGAGTATGTTCTGGACTTTTTAACTCAATATGGCTACAGATACAACCAGGTTCAGTGAGAGCTAATTTTTTTTAAGACAACAATGACTTATACCAGGGAAAATCCTACCGTAAAATACAAGCAAAAAAGTCAAGATCGAAATTAAGCCCACAGAAGGAATCGAATTAGGTGAGAAAAGGAAAGGATCGCAAACGGAACATGGAGTAAAGGCACATAGGATGTGAAAGAAACAGACAGGCAGTTTCAATCGAGTACCTCGACATTGAGGCAATCACTCGACTCGATGTGCGAACGAATGACCTGCTGAATTACCGAAACTTACCTAAACTATGCCTACATGCAAACGAGATGTGTAGAACTGAAGCCCTTGGACATGCCGAAGCGCTGCCACCGCGGCCGCACACTCTCCCACTGCGTCTAGATGTGTCGCTCCGTCTTCCAAGCTTTTCCTATTGATCGAGGCAGTCGAGATGGCGAAATCGTGGAAGTCCAGCGCACGGCCTTTGGATGGTGAAAAAGGAGCCCCCCTTTTGCAGCAAAAGGCTTGAGGGGAGGACGACTCCTCTGGTGTCGAGATCCTGTCAGGTATGAAGGTTGGTATGGAGGTCAAACGCGGAGCTGCCAGGATGCCTTGGAGTAAGAGTGCGAGGCACTCCCTACCCACTCAAGGGCTAGGCTACGCCAGGGCACTGTCGCCATAGCTCTCAAACAGCTATGGTGCCTGGCAGGGTAGGTGCCTCGTGGAAAGGATCAGCGTCTACATGCCCCGCCGTTGCGTCCTACTCAGCCGCCGACGACGACCGGGCGCCGCTATCGCCGCTTCGTTAACGCATGTTTTCGCTTGGCCCTCCCCCCCAGCTCTTCTTTCACTACCTTCTTCACGGGAATACAACGGACGGTCATGATTGCTGTATGTAGACTGAAAGATACTCCAAACACATACAGTAATAATGACCGTACGTTTTATATTGGTGAAGAAGGAAGCTCCTCTCGTTTACAGTCCTTGTCCCATCCTGCTTCTCCTCCTACTCCCCCTCCTGTTCCTCCTCCGGCTCCGCTATGGCTGGGTTCACTGGGACTATCGTCTCCTGCCCCTACTACTGTGCATCTCCCCCTCCTCCTCCTGCCGGTTCTCCTCTTGCTTCATTCCTTCCTCCTCCTGCTGCTTCCTCCTCCTCTGGACCCTCTTCTTCCCATTTACTTGTTTCTTGTGTTCGTCCTCCTTTCCCCCTACCCTCCTCCTGCTTTCGCTCTCCATCTCCCCTCCTCCTCTTGGCCCTCCTGCTCCTTCCCCTCCTCTTCTCCCTCCTCCTGCTCCTCCCTCCCCTCTTGCTCCCCCTCCTGCTACTCCCTCTGCTTCCATTCCTCCTCCTCCTCCTCCTCCTCCTCCTCCTCCTCGTCTGCTATTGTTATGATCACAAACATTGCCTTCTTCCCCTCAGCAGTAGCTTGAGCAGCATAATTGGTTGAACAACGAGATCCTTTAAATCCCACTGAACCAGAAGAGGACCAAGATTTGGTATCTCCAAAAGAATCTGTTATGGTAATTATAGTGTTACTTAGCTTCTCCACCTCCTCCTCCTCTTCCTGTTGTTCTTCTCCCTCCCATCTTCTCTGTTATAATTGTCATTGTGGCCATTGCATTGTCATCGTGATTGTGATGGCGATCATGATTGTGGTTGCGATTGTGATTGCAATTTGTGATTGTGATTGTTCTTGCGATTGTGATTGCAATTTGTGACTGTGATTGTTCTTGCGATTGTGATTGTGATTGTGATTGCGATTGCACTTGTGATGGTGATGGTGATGGTGCGAGTTTGGGGCCACTGTTGATGGCTGCTGTGGAACTGCTGCAGGTGTGGTAGAATGCACTTCCCATTTCTTTTCTGGACCTGGCCTCTTTTTTTTTCTTTTTTCTTTTTTCCCAGCCTCTTTAGCAAAATGCATTCTCTGAATTTTGTTCCCTTTTCTGTCTGTGGCTCATCGGTGTTCAATGTGGGGAGAAAGGCAGACAGCAAACAGTGAGAGACACAATCTTCGAAAAAATGGGCTAAAGTTACCAAGAGGCCAAGTCCTGTTTTACTGAAAATTTTAATAGAATTGTTTAGTTTATGTTGTTTTATCATTGTTTGAATTTTATTCTATTTTATATTGTAAGTTGTAACCCTTTTTTTTTTTTTTTTTTTTTTTCTTCTCTCGATTTCACCTTACCAACCTACTATTACTCCTGATCATAGTATTACGGGAAGTCCGTAGCAGCGACAACCGTGTTCACGAGAGAACATGCGGGCGCTGCACCCGACCTGCAGGTGGGTGATATCGGCCAGGGCATAACCAGGAGCACCGGGGACCATGCCAACAGGACCAATCCCTACGCCTCCCCTCCGGACCCCTCCCTCCCCTATGAACATTGGCAGACTCTGCTCAATACCAATCAGTGGATCCGGTGGTCTATCTATCTCTAGGTGGCGGTACTTCTCGACAGCTATGCCCATAAAACCTTGTGGTCCCCACTTCATGGGAATTTAATCACATCATGATTTTGGCTGCAGGCTGAAGAACCTGATTCCACTCGACCCCATAGGAGAGAGGGGTTACAGTTCCACTAGCCATGGCATTGGATAGGATAGAATAGGGCGAGGCAGGGCAGTGTAGGGCAGGGCAGGGCAGGGGAGGGCAGGGGAGGGCAGGGTAGGCGGGGATAGGCCTGGGTAAGGTAGGGCAGGGCAGGGCTGGGAAGGGCAGGGGAGGGCAGGGGAGGGTAGGGGAGGGGAGGGGAGGGGAGGGGAGCGTAGCGCAGGGTAGGGTAGGGTAGGGATAAGGGTAAGGATAAGGATAAGGATTAGGATCAGGAGTAGGATAAGAATAAGGAGTAGGATAAAGATAGGAAAGGATAGGATAGATGGACATTTCGTGTGACAGCGGACATACACCTAAGCATGTGACGAGTGTCTTTGACACGCCATGGGGTTACAGTTGTTCTAGCCACGGGATAGGGTAGGATAGGATAGGATAAAATAGGATAGGATAAGATAGGATAGGATAAGGATTGGGAGAAGGATTAGGAGAAGGGATAGGATATAGGATAAGATAGGATAGGAGAAGGATTAGGGGAAGGGATAGTATAGGATGAGCATTGGGAGAAGGATTAGAATTAGGATAAGGGTTAGGTTTAGGTTTAGGTTTAGGATAAGGATAGGATAGGATAGGATAGATGGAGATTCTGTGTGGCAGCAGGCATACACCTACTATGTGACAAGTGTCTTTGAGACACACCTGCCATGTGACGAGCGTGTTTGGCACACCGTCGTACTGCCAGTTATTTTAACATATCAACAGATCGTAAAACAAAAGATACAACATTGTATATGGAGGTTGCCCTGTTTTTTCAGGACATACTGGAGGCTTAAAGCAAAAAAAAAAAAAAAGAAGAAGATACTCGTTCCTGATTGGTTCACCAACACGAGTCACATTGTTGCAGAACTACCGTCTTCGCCCGAATACAACGCCCGGTCATTATCGCTGCATCTGGACTGAAAGCTCCTTCAAATGCAGCTATAATGATCGGGCGTTGTATTCGGGTGACGACGGTCCTCTGTCTCTTTCTCCTCACAGATAAG